ATTTGATAACTCTCTCCTCCAATTTGCAGACCTTACCTACTATATTTTTAACATTTTATTTAATGCTAAAAAATCACAATGATAAATTCGGTCAATATTTATTTTTAACTATTTATACTGTGACTCATGCATGCAATTACAAGTAATTCATAATAATATTTTAAATTTTGAAATCATATTTATTTTTGGCATATGAATTTTTTGAAACTGTTTCTAAATGTTTGTCTTTCAACAGAGAACGTAACGAGTTCAATGACATTCGTTAATCTCGTGCTAATGTGCTTGAAAAAGGCACGATTATAAGTTGGAAACTAATTTGGGAATAATCGAAATTAATTGCGAATTCCAGCGAAAGTTACCCATGAAACAAAAATAATTGTTTGCACGGAAAGTAAGGACCTACGCACATCAAATTGTTTTTAAATTAAGGAGTGGCAGAAGTTGAACTTTCAAAAGGTAAGCTTTTTAATATTAATGTAGTACTTAAATGTAGCGATCAATTTTGAGTTCTTTTGTAGTTTATTGTTGCCTATCGCATACAGCAGCAGTATGCCTCGCAAAAAGAAATCTCCGCCAACAGAGGACCAGATTGAAATCAAAAGAGCCAAGGTTGCAGCGGGGAAAAGAAAGACCCGTGCAAATGAAAACCCAGATTAAACGGCAGCCAGGAAAGCTTCCAATACTGAGAATATGCAAAGATTTAGGGACTCTCAAATTCCTGTAAAAGCCGAAGGCCCAATCAAGATTCCTCCGCCAGAGTTTGATTAAATGCTGCCCAATAGGACGGCTTTTAAGTTAGTCTTAATAAATAATAAAAGACAGTCTGTCCTCCCGTGGGTCTGAAACCTGTCTCACTCGAGCCATCTTGCTATACATAGGCATATTATACTTTTTGGAATTAGAATGGTTCCGGGATTGAAAATCTTCCAATCATCTGGTGCTTGAACATCCAGAATTGGGATTTGTATCCGGACGAAATTTCAAATCTTAAAATAACTGAAAAAAAAAATAGTGTTTATAAGTTTTTTAAATTTATACTGAGTTTAAAAACTTTGTGAATTTAAATTTTTTTGTTTTAAATTCAGTTTAAAATATCTCCAAAACTTTGTGAATTGAGGAAATCCATTTTATTTCTTCAAAATGCCAAGGTATCAGATTTAAAGTGAGAGGTTTTTTGACATAAGGTTTTGAAGTTCCACGGAGTTTGTGAGTTGAAGAATTCAGTTTTTGGTCTGAATTGAATTTTATTTATAAATCAGAATTTCATTACAAATCGGTCTTTTGTCCGGAATTGGATTTATAGCCAAAATCAGACTTAAAATGAGATTTTGAAGTTCCACGGAGCAAATTCAGTAATTCAAAATTATTTCTTCAAAATTATCGTTGCTGTTTTCTAAGCTGGACCAGAGGTCCCTTTAGTTTTGGGACAGAGAACCAATTAGCCCTCCGCAGGGTCCTACTTAAAAGCTTTTAAGCTAAGCTATAAATAAGTATACGTTTCTGTTCTTATTTTTGCTCAAATCAGAACGCCATGTTCAAAACAGATAAAGATTATTTTGAGAAGAAAATATTAATAATCTTGAAACTCTTCTTGACGCATTGACTGAACGACCGATAGCTGCTTAAATACGAGCTCAGAAACGCTGACGTGCTGGAATCAGATATATAAATCTTTCATGACTTACGCGGCTTTTACTAAATTCATGCAAGTGCCTTCAAAGAACAGAACAACCCTGTACATCATCCTCCAGCAATAGATTAAAATAGTAGTACAGATAGTCTTGTATTGCTTTGGTTAGCAACCGGTCTAGGAGAAGGAAAACTGAGTTCAAAATCTGGCTTCCTATAGGGAAGAGTATTAATTCCTGTTTTCCTCACTTCTTTCCCCAGGGCTTAAGAGTCAATGTTGCTTACTATAAGGCGTTGTTGGAGAGTGTTGTGAGGTCTTGAATAGAGAGCGCCAGCAAAGGAAGACCATACTCACAGCAACAAGTCTCTGCACAGTTCCATAAAGCCAAGGCAACCTAGGAATTACAATCTCCACGATTATGTCACCCCAAACATCCTAAATTTCTATCTCTCCAGATCTGAATCCGTTGGACTATTACGTATGGGGCGTAGTCGAGAGAAAAGTTAATCGAACGCCCCCATAACCCTAAAATCTCTGAAGTCTGCCATAACTAACAAAATGTCCAAAATAGATAAAGATCTTCTAGTTCACGTATGTCAACGTTCCAGACCTCGTAACGAAGAGGCATCGATGCCGACGGAGGATTTATTAAGTCGATGTGTCAAGAAGAGTCTCAAGTTTATTCATGACATTTTCTTCTCAAGCAAATCTCTTTTTTCATGACTTAAGCGGCTTGTACTAAAGTCCTCAAAGAACTAAGCAACCCTATCCATCATCCTCCATCTATGGATTAAAATACTAGGACAGATCGAATTCTGTAGACAACCAGTCTAGGAAAAGGAAAATTCTGAATTCAAAATCAATATTGCTGGGTGGGGGGAGAGTAATATTTCTTGTCCTCCTCAAATCTTTCCTCAGGGATTAAGAGTCAATGTCGCTTACTATAAGGCGTTGTTGGAGAGGATTGTGAGGTCTTGGATACAGAGCGTGAGCAAAGGAAGACTATACTCACAGCAACAAGACGTTATATCGTTTCATAAGACCAAGACAACCCAAGAATAGACTAGTTAGAATCTCCACGATCACGTCACCCCAAATATCCTAGCTTCTTTTACAGGGCGTAGTCGAGAGGGAAGTCAATCAACACCCACCGCCCATGACACTAAAATCTCTGAAGTCTGTCATAAGTAAAACAATGTGCAGAATAGATAAAGATCTTCTGTATGTGAACATTTCAGACCTCGTACCAAAGCAGCGACTGGCGCCGACGGCGGATTCATTAAGTCCATGCGTCAAGAAGAGTCTTAAAATTATGCCATTTTTTTCTCTTCTTACATGACATGCCTCTTTTACTAAAGTCATGCAACTGTCCTCAAAGAAGCAACCCTGTACATCTTCCTCCGTGGATTAAAAATGAATCTGTAGATTAAAATAGTTGGACAGATCGACTTCTATTGCCTTGGTTGGCAATCACTCTAGGAGAAGGAAAACACTGAGTTCAAAATCTGTCTTCCTGGGGAAGGGTCATATGCTACTACACATATCTGTCCTTAACGTATTGTTCAGAACGTAGGCAGTCATGACCCTCCACAGCTTCCCTTTCTTTATTATCCATGATTTGACATGTTCTCTTAGGTAAGATAATGGAGTGGTTTTCCGTTGTATTCACAATGGTTGTGAACTTCTCTTTTTTTAAAGTCATGTCTTTTCAGAACTTTGGCGATTATGTTAGCTCCACAGACTTTATTTACTATCTTTGAATTGGCATGCGTTTTTGGACTTGACAGTGCTGTGGTTTTCTGTTACCTACTCTACGGTTTGGAAATCAGAGTTTTTTTTTTCTCCAAGAATCGCTGTAACCTTATCTTATAGTAAAATTAACCACATTAAATGAATCAACATGAAAGAATTCTTTCATGACATTAATCCATATAATATCCTACAATTTCTTAAAGAAATCAAACTGTATTCCAAAATATAACTTCAACATAAAACACATTTAATTTAACATGGACTTAAATATGACCCTTCCCCAGGAAGACAGATTTTGAACTTTAATTTTATTTAACACGGGAAAATTAGTCTCGCCTCTGGGGTTCTACATTGTAAGAGGCTATCTTCTCTTTTCCCTCTCGGGTGGGTGTTTTTATTTCTACCTGACAAACAGTTTTTTTTCTATGAGTTCACTTCTTATGCGCAGCTCGATCGATTGTTTGCAGTGTGGAAGAAACACGGATCTGCGTCTGGTCTCTCTCTCTCTCTCTCTCTCTCTTTCTCTCTCAGGTGCTACACACCTGGCTTTTGAAGAACAATGAGTGCCAATTCTATCTTAATATCTTAAGAAGTGAGTCCCAGAACCATTTCCCAAGTCCTAAGATGAATCCTTTTAAGATACTTCGTTAAAAATCTACTTAATGAATCTGCCGTTATCACTAACGACTAATTCAATAGGAGTTCTGAAAAGTTGACATGATTGAATCATATAACCATTATCTATTTTGGATATTGTGATAGTAATGGCGGACTTCAGAGATTTTATGTTATGAAGTCATTGAATGTCCTCCCTCCTTCACTACGCCCCAATACGTAGTAATCCCCATATTTCAATCGTTCCATCATCATGGAAGATGCTTAGAAAGATGAAAGTTATAGGTTAGCTATAGATGTAAGTTACAGGAAAGTTGAAAAATATACTATGAATTAATTTAACATGGACTCTAATTTCCAAACCGTGGAGTCGGTAACAGGACATTAAAAAAAAGATAAGGTCACAACCATTGAGAAGACAACAGAAAACCAATCTATTATCTAGCATGTAGGTCGTTGGTTCTAGGCCGATCTTCTTGGTCGGGAAGCCAGGTAGACAGTGTGTAACCCAGGGTTTCCAACCAAGGCTTTACCACAGTGTTCTGCAACTCCACCTATCCATCCGAACTGAGCCTGAGACCCTTTTCAAAGTTGTGAGGTAGCATGACATCACCCTTACTACACTTTGATTTTTAAGTGGATCTGACGAGTTCAAATTAGACGCTCCGGAAATTCTCTGAATCTGTTATGTATCACTTCCGACGGTAAAGCTGTGTACCTTCATAATCAATATTCGAGAACTTTGACTCAGAGTGAAGAGTGACTGCTGGCGTCGATTGCAGAAGTTTATTGTTACAAACGTCAGGCAAATTTAAAGTTCAAAGTCAGGAATTCGACGAATGTCTTTCGACCTACCAAGATCTCTGTGCCAGATTCCTTCTTCCATTATCCTAAAATGGTTTTGGGATGCCAAATGCCAAAGTTTAGCCAGTGACCAATCCGTTTTGATGGAGAGATGTGTTCGACATTTTGAAATATTTTGACATATGTTAACCTGTAAGACATGCGATACTCAATCTATGTATCGATCTATCTCGGCCTGTTTCTTTCTTTCTTTTTTTTACTATCTCTTTCTCTCACTCTCTCTTTCTCTCTCTCTCTCTCTCTCTCTCTCTCTATATATATATATATATATATGTCTATTCATATCAATCTATCTATGGCAGTTTGCTCATTATCTATCTATCTATCTATCTATCCCAGTTTGTTTGTTTCTATCTATCTATCTATCTATCTATCTATCTATCTATCTATCTATCTATCTATCTATCTATCTATCCCAGTTTGTTTGTTTGTTTCTATCTATCTATCTATCTATCTATCTATCTATCTATCTATCTATGTTAATATTTTGTTCTTATCATTTCATCTCTTTCGACTAATTTCTCTCAATTTTCTTTTTTTCTCTGTCTCTTTCTGTCTTTCTGTCTTTCTGTCTCTGTCTGTCTGCCTGTCTCTCTCTCTCTCTCTATATATATATAAACGAACATCGTTTGATGATAACCTGATTTGTGAAACTGACCATCTATCGATATCAATATCTATCTATCTATCTATCTATCTATCTATCTATCTATCTATCTATCTATCTATCTATCTATTTTAA